AGGAGTCCCAGACTGTGAGAGGGCACAGGCCGGGCTGAGGGACCCCCCTGAGTGCACAAATTTTTGTGCACCGGGCCTCTAGTCTATATATATAAAAGCCTAAGTGACCAAAGGACCAAACGAGCTGCCCTCTGGTGGTCAGTGTGCTCCCACAGCAGGAGTGCCACTCAGCTGACTGCCCTGCCTAGGTGGCCCCCCAACCTGGCTGCAGCCACTAACTCCCTCAGTAGTCCCACAGGTCCAATCTCTGGAGAACGGGCCAGCCACTGATGGACCGGCACCACCAGCACAATCCTGACAGAGCCACTGGCCTCTTGGAAGTCTGCCTCAGGCACCTCGGCCACTTCCCCTCCCTAGAGGCTCTGCAAGGAAGAAACAATATAAAAATGGCCACCAGGTGGCTCCCAACAACCTTCGTGAACATCAGCGGGATGGATCTGGATCCCCCCACCTGCAAGGGCATCCCACCACCCGCCCAGAGGGCCGATCGCATCCCACCCCCCCCTCACCCCCCCTGGACCGACGGCAGGTACAGTGGGGCCAGGATGAGTGGGAGCAGCAGGCATGAGTGGCAGGCAGCGTTGGACTGCGGGTTTCGGCCCGATCCCCACAGTCTACCCTGAGGGACCCCACCTGTGCATGAATTCATGAACCAGGCCTCTAGTAAGAAATAAAGCTACACAACTTTTATAAGAAAATAGGATAAAACTTTATGACCTTGAATTAGGCAAAGATTTTGTAAATAAGACCTAAAATCATGAACCATAAAAGGAAAATAATTATAAATTGGATTTCAACAAAATTAAAATTTTATGCTTTACAAAGACACTGTTAAGTAAATAAAAGACTAAGATACAGACTGGAAGAAATATGTGCAAATCACATATCTGACCAAGGACTTATGAACAGAATAAATAAAAAAACTCCTGAAACTAAACAGTAAAATAAAAACCAAAAAAATCTTCTTATATAGGCAAAAGACATGAACAAACACTTCACCAAAGATTTTATACACATAGAAAATAAGTGCATAAAAAATGCTCAACATCATTACCCATTAGGGAAATGTAAATAAAAATCATAATGAAATACCACTAAATATCTAACAGAATGGCTGCAATAAAAAAAATACTAGGAATACCACATGCTGGCAATCATGTGGATCAACTAGAACTCTTATATAGGGTATCCCCCAAAATGTACATGTACAGTTTGAATAATTATAAAGGCAGTGTTTATTAATTATACATTTCATTTTTAAATTTGAGCTGTTAAACCAAGTATACATTTTTGGGGACACCCTTTATATTTGAATTCAGAATGCAAAATGGCATAGCAACTTTGGAAAATAGTTTGTCAATTTCTTATAAAGTTAAACAAACACTTACCATGCAACCTAGGAATCCTACAGATATGAACAATCCAGTAAATAACTCAGATGTCCTGGAGTAAACTGATGAATGGGTAGTATATCTAGACCAGAAGTCGGCAAACTGGCCCCTTGAGTGTGGCTCTTCCACAAAATACCACGTGCGGGCACGCATGTACAGTGCGATTGAAACTTCGTGGCCCATGCCACGGGGCCAAAGAGCCGCATGTGGCTCATGAGCCGCGGTTTGCCGACCACTGATCTAGACAATGGAATATTATTAAGCAACCAAAAGAACCAACTACTGATACATTCAACAGCATGGGTGAATATCAAAGGTATTATGTTCAGTGAAAAAAGCTAAATACAATTACTACTATATGATTCATTTATATGACATTGTAGAAAAAGTAAAATTAGGGTAACAGAAAGCAGATTAGTGCTTGCCAATGGCCATGGGTGGGAGCAGAGATTGACTACAAAGAGAAAACTAGAGAACTTGATGAAGTGATATAAATGTTCTATACCTTAATTATGATGATAGGTACACAACTATATACATCCGCTAAAAAAAATGGTGAAACATTGTGTGTAATTATACTGAAAAAAAGCTGATAAAAATAAAATCTTAGAACTGAATAATAAAGAAAGGTTAAACAATCCAAGTTTTTTCAAGACAAACTACTCAAAAAAAAAAAAAAAAGATTGCAGCACTATCTACAATAGCCAAGATCTAGAAATAGCTCAAGTGTTCATTAGTAGATACATGGATAAAAAAGCTGTGGTACACAATGGAATACTACTGTGCTGTAAAAGGGAATCCAATTTTACACTTTGCAATAGAATGGATGGACCTGTAGAATATCATGCTAACTGAAATAAGCTAGTCAGAGAAAGTCAAGTACCATATGATTTCACTCATATGTGGAATTTAATGAACAAACTGACTACCAAACAAAATAGAGACAGACTCATAGATAGAGAGCAGGCAGACAGCTGGGGGTGGAGGGTGAGTTGTGGAGGTGGAGCAATTGAGCAAAATGGGTGCGGGGGAGAACTCATGGACTTGGACAACAGTGTGGTGATTGCAGGGGTGGAAGGGGATGGATAGAGGTGGTAGAGAGTATAGAGGGAATAAAAGGTGATGCAGAAAATTAAATTTTTAAAAAATGTAATACATCATGATTAAGTAGGGTTTATCCCAGCAATGCAACTACCATTTAACATGAAAATTACTCAATACAAATTCACATATTAACAGACTAAAGGGTAAGAGCATATGACCATTTCAATGGATTGGTGGTTCTTTTTGACCTCCAGATATTTGACAATGTCTGGAGACATTTTTGGTTGTCACAACTGGGGTAGTGGGAGTTGCTACTAGCATCCACTAGGTAGGGACCAGAAATGCTGTTAAACACCCTACAATGCATAAGGCAGGCTTCGATTGAATATCAACATTCGATATTCTACTTAACCTCTCAACATTATGTTTATAATATCTATAAGCATTGCTATAAAGTTCATACATCTACTCTGTTGAGTCTTGCTACATAATATCCCACAGTAAGCATCTGCTGTTTCTTATCCATCCCTTGGTGATAAATACCTAAATTGCTTCTAATTACACTCCACCACACATAACACTGCCATGCAATGAACAGTCTTGTAAATGCTCCGTCATGGATCTCTGTGAGAACTTCTCTGGGATACCTATTCAGAAATGGAAGCACTAGGTCATACATATGCTTAACTTTGATAAATACTTCCCATGTGCTTTCTGGAATGGCTGGAACAGTTTAAATACTATGCAGAAAAGAGTTAAAAGAGTTAACATATCAGGCCTGAGGCTGCTATCCTTAGAAAGACCTGTTTGAAATGTTGGCCTTCTCTGGCATCTTGGAACTTGAATCTCAAGAGGCTTCTCACCATTCCCTAACAATAGTGGCTCACTGTGCCTAAACTGTTTATATAAACAATGTGGTTTATACTGAATGTCCCATTTCCTTCTGGGAGTCTAGAATTTGGGTACATGCTAGGCAAAGGGTGCCTATGTGACCAGACCCCCCATAAAATGCTTATGTACTGATTCCCTAATGAGTTTCTCTGGTAAAGAATGTTTCATATGTATTGTCACAACTTATTGCAAGGGGAATTAAGGGCATCTTATGTGAACTCCACTCAGAGAAGACTCTTGGAAACTTGAGTATGGTTTCATCCAGACATTACTCCTGGTGCCTTTTCCTTTTGCTGATATTGTTTTGTGTCCTTTAGGTATAATAAATCATAACCATGAGTATAACTATATGTTGAGTCCTGCAAGTCCCTCTAGCAAACCACTAAATTACATATCTATAAGCAAAGCAGTATTTTTAAGAAGACTTACTTTTAGCTACACACTTTTTTATGTGCCACTTGAAATTTGTATCATGTGCACATGTTATCTCTTTAAAAAATAAATACTTTATAAAATGGGAGAAGAGAGTTGTTAAAACAACTTGGTCAGCTATGAATGAGACCCAAGAGAACCACAATATATAATTGACTTCATAGAGGAAGGTAGATGGAGAGAGAGATAGAAACATCAATGATGAGAATCACTGATCAGCTGCCTCCTGCATGCCCCACATTGGGGATCAAGCCTGTAACCCAGGCATGTGCCCTTGGCCTGAATCAAACCCGAGACCCTCCAGTCCTCAGGCTGACACTCTATCCACTTAGCCATACCGGCTAGGGCCAGAGTGAACCTTCTTATATTCCAGATGAGGAAGCCCAAAGAAGGTAATGGACTTATCCAAAGTTACTCAGACAGTCATTACAGATACTGGTACAGGACTCAAATCCTCATTTTCCTGTACCCTAGTGCTCCTTTCTCTAAGCCATGTGGCCTCTTTTCCTACACATATAATTTCTCCTACCCTAGTATTCTCCCCTAAATGCCTCAAGAGACCTATTTTCATGCTGATCATGGGCTCTCCTATTACTCAGATCCCTGGATTATCCATGTAGTGAATAATTTCAAAGCCCTTTCAAAAACACCAGGTCCCACAGAAACTGAACCCAACAGAAAAAAATATAAGCTGAAGAAAAATCTTACTGGTAACCCTCTGGAAGGAGAGAGAAAAGAGAGGGGAAATGTAAAGTAAGAGAGTCCTAGTCCAAATTACAGTACCTTCCTAAGTCCTCATGCACTGGCAAAGTTATCAACATCAAAGTCAGAGAAGAATCCATTCGCTACCACAGGACAAACCAGCTGAGCAGGACCAGGGAGCTCAGACACTCCTTCCAATGCTTCTTTTTTTTTACTTTTTCTTTTTTTTTACTGAGTTTGTTGGGGTGGCATTGGTTAATAAAATTATACCATAAATGGTATAGGTTTCAGGTATACAATTCTACAATACATTATCTGTATATTGTATTGTGTGTTTACCAACCCAAGTCAAGTGTCCTTCCATCCCCATTTATCCCCCCTTTAACCTCCTATACTCCCTCCACCCCCTTCCTTCTGGTAATCACCATACTGTTGTCTCTGTCCATGAGTCTTTCTTTTTTAACATCTCTCAAAACTCTCCCCAAAGAGAAAGATACTTACGTGCTCCAGGAAGCAGGGTCCTATCTCACTGAGGTGGGGGTCATCATTGTTGTACTGTTTCTCCAGGTCTCTCACAAAGCCCATCTGAAACCTGTAGATGTCTTCAATGTTCCCAAAGATGACCTTCAATTGCTCATCACTGAACATGTCCCTTCTCTTTCGGCACTGCTTCAGGTAGCCCTGCAGACAAAAAAAAGAGCCCAGTCTGAGGATATTCCTGGTTTCTTGAGAGCTTTACCACTTCCTAAGTAGTTGGAGCCTCAATTCAGTTCCATGAGGTAGACAGGGAACAATCCTATATAATAAAACCCAAATATGCAAATTAACTGAATGGCGGAACGACTGGTTGCTATGATGCATACTGAACAGCTCCTACATTGGGCAGACCACTCAGCCAGAAGGTGGGCTCACGGCTGACGAGCACAGCGGCGGTGGCAGGAGCCTCTCCTGTCTCCACTGCAGGCGGGCCGTAAGGAATGAGGGGCCCCAGACTGCGAGGGCCACATACTGCGAGAGGGATGTCTGACTGCCTGCTTAGGCCCGATCCCCTAAGGGGTCCTGGACTGCAAGAGGGCACAGGCTGGGCAGCAAGACCCCCCCCCCCGAGTGCACGAATTTTGTGCACCAGGCCTCTAGTCATTTATATTTTTCATATGAGGAAATTAAGGTTTAGAGAAGGAAGTCACTCCACCAGTGAAGAATTAGAAAAGTTGGATCTCAAGCAAAGTCTTCAGAGTGCAAAGACTCAAGTATAGAGCTTTGCCTGCAATTCTCTATGACAAAGACCCCCAAAGTCTTAGGACCATTTTTTAGAAGCTGGTTAAGCATAAACATTTTCACTAATTTTAGTAGTTATTGGTTTAGCTTGATCTATTTATATCTCTAAAGTTCTTTCTTATAGGACCAATTCAAAAGATCTTCATAACATCTACAACAATTTGGCAACAGAGGCCCCAGCAGGAAACTTCCCAAAAGGGAACAGGAATTGACAAAACCAAACCATTCCTTAAAGCAACATCTTAGCCATCTAAGGTAGCTGGCCCGGAAAAACAGTTTGGATGAGCTCAGACAACAAGCCCACCAGTGTCCAGGCATGGTGTTTTTAACAGAGTAAGTGTTCAGGACACATTTGTGAATAAACAGATTATTCAATACAGCTAGCCATTGATGAAAGGGAAAAGCAATGAAAGAGATTTTTGGTCTAATAAGAAAGTACTGAGATAACACAATTAGCCTCAGGCACACTGTAAGTCATAGGGAGGAAAAATAAAACTGCCACAGTTTTCCATTTTGAACTTAAATATTTTTAAACTAATGGCCACTGTCCACATTAGAAATCATCAGCACATGAAAATGTTCTTGGTGAGAATGAACTATGGTCACTTGCTTTCATATAAAAGCTAAATGTGAGCCCAGCTGGCATGGCTCAGTGGTTAAATATCGGCCTATGAACCAGGAGGACACGGTTCCATTCCCAGTCAGGGCACATGCACAGGTTACGGGCTTGATCCCCAGTGTGGGGAATGCAGGAGGCAGCAGATCAATGATTCTCTCTCATCATTGATGTTTCTATCTTTCTCTCCCTCTCCTTTCCTCTCTGAAATCAAGAAAAATCTATTTTAAAAAATAAAAGCTAAATGTGATTTTTATAACACCTTTCGTAAATGTTGAGCCCCTAATGAAGAGCATTGTAGTGACTGACTTACCACTTCCAGGCCTGTCTCTACCTCCACTTTGTCTCCCCTAACACAGCTTCCAATTAAGTCATCTAGCTCTTCCCTGGCTTCAATGGCTTTTACTAACCTCTACCAAAATCTCACTTCCCTTATCTCTTCTAACAATCCAAATCAGCCATTAATTATTAAGTATACTTCAACAGTTATACAAATTAATACTCTGTGCCTGTGTTGACATTTATTTTACTAATGGCAGCTGCCCTTATTAATTGAAATGCCCAAGATGTTCTGTATTCATTTGTATCCAATTCCTGACCAGGAAGAATATGCCACCTATTCTAGAAATACTCTTTTAGCTTCACTACTTTTGCTGAAACAGCTCCCAAAATTCTGCCTCCATAGAGACTTTTCCTTGACTAACTGGAAGATCGGTAAGTAACTCCCAGTGTTTGCTTGCCTCTTTCTTCCTTCTCTTCCTCCCTCTCTCTTTCCCTTTCTCACCCAATCATATTTGGAAGTATCTTAGCTACAGTGAAGCAGGGAAAGTAGTGTGCATATCATCTGGTAGGAACTTTTCTATCTTGACATCAGGCAACTGGGCAGAGTCTTCCTCACCCCTGCTCCCATTCTCCCTAAGGTAGGCATGTGAACACAGCTGAAAAAAACTGGTAACAATGTCACATCAGCATGTCATGGCAGGTAAGTACAGATATCAGTGAGTGACCATATTGGAACAATATAAGAAGACATTAGGGACAGCTCATTTATCCTTAGAGGATAGTTCAGGAAGTACTTAATAGTTCTTTTCACTGCTCCCATTTAAAAGGTCTCAGGGAGCCCTAACTGGTTTGGCTCAGTGGATAGAACGTTGACCTACGAACTGAAAGGTCCCAGGTTCAATTCAGGTCAAGGGCACATGCCCAGGTTGTGGGCTCGATCCCCAGTGGGGGACTTGCAGGAGGCAGCCGATCCATGATTCTCTCTCATCATGAATGTTTCTGTCTCTCTCTCCCTCTTTCTTCCTCTCTGAGGTCTCAGGGAAATAAAAATTATCAAATCCCCAAGTGCAACAAGGATACTAGATCTCAGCATCAGTACGGAATATAACAGAAATGAAAAATAAGAAAAAGTGGGCTCTGGAAAAGAAAGAACAAATAGAGATGTCAGTAAAGCTTCCTAATTCCTCAAATATCCTATTCATTGTCATTGTCAAGGTGACATTTTCTTTCTATTACATCATATGTGTTGTAGCATGTAAAGATTAAGTATGGATTAGAAGAAATGTAACTGTCCATAGTATGGTGGGACCCTAGGGTGCTTAGTAAACTGTTTTTCTTTAAAGCTAATGCTAATTATAAATACACTAGAGACCCGGTGCATGAAATTCATGCACGGGTAGGGTCCCTAGGCCTGGCATGCGATCAGGGCCATCAGGTTCTCCGCCTCCTGGTCTCTCCACCTCTTCCTTCCCTTGCTCCCTCAGCACCCTGCTGCAGCTACTGGTCACTCACCATGTTCCACATCGCCCCCTGGTGGTCAGCGCACATCATAGCGAGTGATCAAACTCACAGTCTCCCAAACTCCCAAGGGGATAATATGCATATTAACCTTTTATTATATAGGATTCTTGTTTATTTAACTTGATGAAATATTATGTAGCCATTAAAAATGATTAGGAAGATTATGTAGAAACATGGAGAAGTGCTTATGATATAACGTTAAAAAGCAGGACACAAAATGGTATGTCACTATGATTATAACTCTGTAAATACATGTACATATTTGAAGGAATTATACAAAAGTGCAAATAGTTTTCTTATAGTTTGGTGGATTCTAGTTGATTTTTGTTCCCACTTTCAAATTTCCTCTAATTCCATTTAAAAAATTATTTCTATGATAAAAAAGGAGGAAATCTTTGCCAGAGGATATAAAGAAAATACAATGTCAGGAATGCTGTCCTGAGTACAATATTATCAAAGAAAGAGGATAAATTCAATGTCCTCTCAAAGTCTTAGCCCTAGGGTTTAAGACACATGACTTGCTAAAGAGAGTACAACCAATAGAAACTTCCTTTATCAAAGAAATAAGAGATTGAACATAAGAATATGGGAGTAGTTAGAGAACCCCAAAACTGTTAACCTTAGCCCTTACAACACATAGCTGCTTAAGCTTCTCAAGGGAGAAAGGCCAGGAGATATGACTAGTATTCTGGAGTCTAGCTTTTATTTTTCATCTCCTTCCTTTGGCTAACCTAGTAACTATATCAAATTTTCCACAGCAATGATGAAAAGAGGCTTGACTTAGTGGATCAATCAATATGTATGCCTTCTCATTCACCCATTTTTGAGGGTATATATGTTTAAAATAAGATAGCTGTGGAATGTGACTGCCAAAAAAATAAATGCAATTATAAGTTAGGGGACAAATTCTATATTTAAATAAACAAGTTATAGTTATTGAGGTTCAAGAGAAAGTAAAACCTCTGTTTAAAATATGGAAATAAAGGAGAAACAGATTGAGAGGGTAGAATGAGAGAAGTAATGAAAAGGTAGTTCCACCACTGTAGGAGAGCAGCATTCAATTCTGAGCCCTCTTTTCAGAGGAACTTGGAGAAAAGGATACAGAGCCAGAGGGTAGTAATCAGGGTAGAGAGGGGCCTGAAAATCAACACCATGAAGAATGGTGTAGGATCCAGGACTGTTTATCTTGGAGAAGAAAAGACTTAGGTGGCATCGGAAGGCCTGACACAGGGCATAGGTAGCAGAAGGGGTCTGTGGCGCTTACTATCAAGCTGCTTTGAATACCCTCTAACTCCATCCGAATGGGAAGAGAGAATAGGGTGATATGGCAGTAGGTGTGAACTGATTAAACAGAGTCAGTTTCTGAGATCCTCACCTCTGTCTTCTGGGACTAGAGTGGGCATGGTGAGAAGGCAGGCCACACAGCAGCTAAGAGTACTGTGGGAGTTATCAAATCAATCACAATTGGAATGATTTAACTATGGCATTTCCATGGTGATAGTCAAGGAAATAGGAAATATAGTTAATAATATGGTGATAACTATATATGGTACCAGATAGGGTAGTGGAAATATCAAGGGAATACTATATAAAGTATATGATTGCCTAACCACTAAGTTGTATACCCGAATCCAATACATAATACATAAATAAAAAACAAACAAAAATAGTCAAAAAGACATTTGCCTACTTAACTCCATTCTAAAACCCACAAGGATTTATTTAGAAGTCTAGATCTAGTGCACTGAGCTAGGATTACTGCCTTGATATGGGATACAAACTACAACCATGATCTCTAGGGAAGATCCCCAAAACCTCAGGGAAATAAGGATGAATAAAAAAGCTCTGGATCACTTAGGCTTGGAAAACACCTTAGGTAAAGGCCCTTATAAGGCTGGACCTCAAGGTCTCCATCTTTATACAGCAAATCTCTATATACCATGCAAATAAAAAAATATTTCCAGGGCCCTATTTAGCTATGATT